TTCACAGTCAGGTTTTTCAATTTTCAACCTTAAATGAGGTCTTTCGAGTTTGAGTTCAGATAGTTTCGGATTATGATTTTCAACCTCAATTTTGGTTCTCGACCTGGAGGTAGCGTCGAGTTATTCAGTACCCAATCTCAAACACATGTATTTCGGATTTCGACCTTAGAGCTAAGTCTTCTAGTATTCGACCTCGGATGTAGGCCCTTGGGTGCTCGATCCCAGATGCAGATCTTTCAGTTTTCAATCTCAAACATTGGTCTTTTAGTTTTCAGTGCTCAATCTCAGAGACAAATCTTTTGGGCATTCGACCCAGAATCGGTTCTCGATCTCGGATGCAGATTTTTTTTTTCGACCCCAGAGGTGGGTCACTTGGATTTCAATCTCAACGATCATCCGGCTTCCGATGCTTGACCCCAATGGCGGGTCACTTAACTCTCGACCTCTACAACCATTCAGTTTTCAGTGTTTGACTCCAGTGGCGAGTTTCTCTATCTTTCACTCTTGGATCGAGTTATGCTCACTCGACCAGAGTGGGAGGGACTAGATGATATAGCCACGGCTAGTACTGTCGGCTCGACCGATAGCATCTGATATAGAATGTCATACCCGACCAGTTTTTAGGGATATATATTGAATAATACGCCTATATATAGGCTAAGACATTTGATATGATAATATGGGCCAAGCCCAACTTAGGCCAAGCCCAATTTGTTATAAGGTACACTCCCCCTATAAAAAGGGGGCTAAGGTACTCATCCTCTAATGATTCTTGACACACTCTCTCTCTACACCTCCCTACTCTCTCTCTCTCTCTCTATATGCATTTCCATATGAATCTCATACTAACTTAAGAATCGGAGGCCCAAAGCCGGGCACCCCTCCTGGGGTCTCAGGCTTTGGGTTCTTGCAGGTACGACGGCCGTCCGAGTCGAGAAACCCTGGGTAACCTCTTTGTACCATCATTGCTCAAGCCATAATGAATAAACTCGACCCGCCACTGAGGTTAGGAGCTCAAATACCATAAAATCAAACCAAATAAATCCACAAACATGTTCGAGCTATTCGTAATAAGCTTGATCGACCTGCCACTAAGGTCAAAAGCGTAAATTCCATAAAACCAAATCAAATTAAACCATTAACCTGCTCGAGATATACGTAATAAGCTTGATCGACCTGCCACCGAGGTATGCAAATAAACTTCGTGAAATTGCACCAAATAAACTCCCTCTAATCTCGACCCGCCACTGAGGTCGAAAAATGAATTCGACAAAATCAAAACCATGTAAAGATCCTCGACCTACTTATGATGTCTTCAAAAGGCTCCATATCTTCAACGACCCATCATTAGAATCGACCACCCAGCCCGGAAACATTAATCATGGTGGATTTTTTGTCTTCGAACACATGCTCACCCTCGAAGGAGTGGTCGATAAATACGACCACCCAGCCCGAGGCCTTAGTCATGGTGGATTTTTTTATCTTCGAACACATGTCCACCCTCGAAGGAGTGGTCGATACATGGGACCACCCAGCCCGGAGGCCTTAGTCAAGGTGGATTTTTTGTCTTCGAACACATGCCCACCCTCGAAGGAGTGGTCGATACATGCGACCACCCAGCCCGAAGGCCTTAGTCATTGTGGATTTTTTTTGTCTTCGAACACATGCCCACCCTCGAAGGAGTGGTCGATACATGCGACCACCCAGCCCGGAGGCTTTAGTCATGGTGGATTTTTTGCCTTCGAACACATGCCCACCCTCGAAGGAATGGTAGATACATGCGACCACCAAGCCTAGAGGCCTTAGTCATGGTAGATTTTTCCCTTTCGAACTGATCGAACACCTCGACCTAACGCTGAAGTCGACAAGAAAACACACCAACCATCGCGAGATAGAATAGTAATCGATCATTCTCATTAGCCTCGTCAAATGCATAGTTATATCGAACAAATAAAATAAATCAAGTATATTTTTTGACCTCCCTTTCATGTTTGTGCATGACGACCTGTGTTGTCGTTCACTTCCCTCTGTCCACTCCTTACTGCAACCATGCAGTGCACGTAGATAGCCGATCATCCTGTTCGTGTATTTTTCTCAGCAATAATTCAACAATTTCATTAGTCGTATTTTATCCACATCATCCCATTTGCAATCTCGATAGCAACCATAACAAGAGAGTAATAAATCAAGGCAATCACATTGGTCCACATGGTTTTATACCACACCTCAATTTACATGAAAACAACTTCACCACGGCATCCAGTCACATAAACATCCACTCAAATGTGTAGTCGACCAGAATTTCACACAATCATGAATTCAACAAACAATTACGATAAATCATACTCTACAGCTGCAAATGACCGTTAAAAGAATGCACAAAATGAAAGTTTAGATGAATTACTCCCAACATCGAGCTCCGTAGTCATGACGACTCGAAACTGGCCAGCCTGAAGACCTTAGTCATGCCAGATTTTGTTCAAGCCTCCACAAACACCTCATTTTTGGCATTTTGTTAGTCACCTGGATAATAATTCTAAACATATCCATATACACCACAATCTAGCAACATTTCTCCTAGAATATCCAAAGAAAATGAACATTTCTCCAAAAAAGTATGCTAAGAGACTCAATGCTTCACTAAATTGCGTCGGTCGAACATGACCGCTCACAAGAGTTTATACCTGAAGGTTGATAATGCCACTATCCTATCTCTCCAAAAGAGAACGATTCTTCCTTTGAAATTACCATTGGCAATTGGCGCTAACGTTTATTTTGTCCTCGAAACTCTCCAGCTCGTCTACCATAGCTTGTCCCGACTCATGTTATTTCGTTGTTTCCTCGGCAAGAATTCACAGAGATATCATTATCCACATTATATTCATGTCATCAATTTTGCAATGCTCCACGCAAGACAAATAATAGATCAAATACAAAAATCACCATCTCTTCGATTTAAAACATGTTCGAGCAATGACATGCTTAAAAATTTTGAATATTCCAATTCAACAAAATCCACACTTTCACATGAAAATCCAAATCAGAGGCTCCGGATATATCAAGATATCGAATCATATACTTTTTATCCACCTCCTCGAGTTCATCGATAAGTGCACCAAAAACACGATAAACACAATCCTATAATATCCTCAATTCAAAACCACGCCCCGCTTTTATTTTCAATCAAATATATCAGCGAGAAAATCAAATAATCCCTCGAGCAGATCAGATAATCATCCACAAATAAATTCAATAATCCCTCGATAAAATCAAATGTATCCACACACAAATCAAATAATCTCTCGAACAATCAAATAATATCTTCTCGAATAAATCAAATAAGTCAAATAATTTCCACGGACAAATCGCATAATCTTCACGAAATTAATCAAATAAGTTCCATGATAAATCAAATAATACTCCACAAATAACTCCAATAAGCTCCATGATAAATCAAATAATCCTCCATAAATAAGTCAAATAATTCCTTGAACGAGTCAAATAATTCCCCTCAGCCAACTCAAATAATGCTTCACAAATTAGTCAAATAATCCTCACGAATATATCAAATAGCCTCCTCGAATAAATCACATAATTCCTCAAACGAATAAAATAATTCTCCTCAAATATATCAACTAATGCCTCCTCGAACAAATCAAACAATATCCACGAATAAATCACATAATATTCCACCAATAAATCAAATAGGCTTCTCGGATAAATCACAAAGCCCCAGGTATGGACGATATGACTCCTTGTTTTTTTCAAAAATTTTGGGATATTATTCAGTTTGATTTTTGTGTGGCTATTAGGAGTTTTTTTCTCTTCTTGTCTATTACCTAAGAGTATCAATCACACTTTGCTTTCTCTCATCCCTAAAATTAAAAATCCCGAGTCTGTGAACTATTATAGACCAATTAGTCTGTGTAGTATGAGTTATAAGGTCATTTCTAAAGTGTTAGCAAATAGAATGAAAGGGGTCCTGCACCATTGTATTAGTGAGGACCAAGCTGCTTTCAAACCCAGGAGACAAATTCTAGATAATGTTATTATTGCTTTCTGAGTGCTTGCATTATATCAAAAATTGCAGAAACAAAAAGAAAAAGTTCATGGCTATTAAATTTGACATGGCAAAGGCGTATGATCGTGTGGAGTGGCATTTTTTGGCAGCTCTTTTGAAAAAAAATGGGTTTTGGTCAAGTTTTTGTGAATTTGGTCATGTCTTGTGTATCTACTTCATCTTTTTCTTTTAGTGTGTCTGGTCAGTCATGTGGTTTTGTTAGTCCTACTAGGAGAATTAGGCAAGAGGATCCCTTGTCCCCGTATTTATTTATCAGTGTGTCTGAAGCCCTTTCTAATCTCATTCAAAGAGTCACTTTTTATTCTGGGTTAAAAGGTTTGAGTATTAGTAGGCAGGCTCCTCCTATTATTCACTTATTTTTTGCCGACGATACGTTGTTGTTTTGTGAAGCTGATAGTGCCCAAGCTATTGTTATTAAAAGAATTTTGGATAGGTTTTGTCTTGCCTCGGGTCAACTGGTGAATTTTGATAAATCTTGTTGTTTTTTTAGTAATTCTGCTTCTGTTGGTGAGAGGGTAGATATTAGCAGGATTTTGGGGGTGTTAGCATTTAGGGGAGTTCCAGATACTTGAAGTTGCCAATGTTGATAGGTAAGAATAAGTCTGATATTTTCAAATTTGTGGTCGATGGGGCTCATAGTAGAATAGGGAATTGGAAAAATCAATTTTTAAGCCAAGCTGGGAAAGGGATTCTGATTAATTCGGTTTTGAATGCCTTGTCGGTCTATGTTATGTCTTGCTTCAGGCTTCCCAGAAGCATTATCAGATCTTTAAATTCAATGACAGCTAATTTCTGGTGGGGTGCTAATGGTGAATGAAGGGACAAAATTCACTAGGTTGATTGGCTTACCTTGTCAAGGAAGAGAGAAAATGGCGGGCTGGGGTTCAAAAATCTAGAGGCTTTCAATGATTCTCTAGAAATGAAGCAAGTGTTTAGAGCTATTTCAAGGCCTGAAACTTTGATGGGAGGTCTGATGCGAGCTAAATACTTTAGAGACAAGAAGTGGTGGAATATGAAAGCCAAAGATAATCATTCATGGCTATGGAAGTGTTGGCTCAAATCGGCAAAATGGTTGAGGAGAGGGCTGAGAGTGAGAATAGGGAATGGTAAAGACACTTTGATTTGGGAAGCACCATGGATTCCGACAAATCCTCATGTTGGACTTTCTCGAGAATATGCGGATAAAGGAGGTTTGACATGGGTGTCTCAACTTATTCTTGAAGACAGAGTGGTGTGGAATAGAGCTCTGATCAGCAACACTTTTGATCGAGTTGATGCAGAAGAAATATTGAGCATACCGTTGAGAAATCTCAATCATCCGGATACAGTGATTTGGCATTTTGATGAGAAAGGACACTTCAGTGTTAAATCTGCTAATACTCTGATATCTAATCTTACAGACAACCAGAGCACTCTCACTGTAGCTGAGAGTAGTTCCAGAGGTGCAGTGGAGAAAAAAAGATGGAAAAGAATCAGGGTTTTAGCTGTTCACAATAAATTCAAGTATTTCTTGTGGAGGGTGATCAGATGAGCCCTACCGTCAGCTGTGAACCTAAGGAAGAGAAATTTGGAAGTTGATGCCATATGTGGGATGTGTGGAGAAGATGTGGAAACCGTTGATCACATTTTTATTCTTTGTGGGAGAGCTAAAAATGTATGGAGGTTATCTCCTATTGACTGGGAGGATTTCAGGGAGGACTCAACGACTGTTATATCATGGTGGGATAATATATGTGGAGATAAAAAATCCGAGGCTGTAGAGAGAAGAATGCAACTCTCAGTGTATATATTATGGTGGTTATGGAAGACCAGAAATTTGTGGCTTTTCGAGAATCAATGGATAGAGGAAAAGGAAGTGGTGGATAAAGCAATGAGAGATTGGTCCGAATTTTGTGATTTGTGCTGATTTGGTGTGCTTGGCATTGATTAAGATGAGTTTATTCTAGGGACCCAGGCTGGGCTTCCAGTAGCGTCTCATGTTAATTTGCTGCTTAGTCTCAGGTTGGTTAAAATGATTTGAAGCAGGTTTTACTGTTATTTTTTGCTGAGGTGGATGATGTTTTTGGGGTTCTAACTTGTTCTGGGTTTAAGATGTTGTTTTAGCTTCCAGGTTTCTGTTTTGCTTTTCTTTTGTCAGTTTTAGTTGGGTTTTGGTATGGTAATAGTTGTTGTTTTGGTAGTTTTGGTTTTTGGCTTTGTATTTCTCTCCTTGGTCTGTTTGTGTAATCCCAAGGAGGTTATGTATTTTGTACATGTACATTTGCTTAAGTAATAAAAGTTTTGTTTATCGATGGAAAAAAAATGTTAGCATCCAACATGTGTCTGTTCATTAACCTGTAGTGCTAAATTGTTTCGTTCAAACTTGTACCAAAAAAAAAAATGTTTCGTTCAACTATTGTCTATGTTTTGCATTAATAGTTTATTTTTTTCCAAAAATTATTAATAAATAATTGTGTTCTTATTATGAAGATAAAAGACTACGGAAAAGAGAAAGTTTGAAAAAAAAAATTATTACTTATAAATCACTTCTAGAATATGAGATGACGTTAAAACATAAGTAATGCTTCTAAAAAGAATCATAAATATTCAATATATTTATGGATATTGCAAGACTAATTATTTTTGAATTCAAAGTAACTAAAATCTATCAAAGTCAAATGAAAAGGCATAAAAACTAGTAGAAATTCTATGGTGCCACATGTGGCACTATATTATAGTGCCACATGTGGCACCGTATTATGGTGCCACAACATGATGTGGCACATTATGATTGGTGCAACAACATGATGTGTAATAGTGTGGCACCAATCATAATGTGCCACATTATGTTGTGGCACCATAATATAGTGTCACATGTGGCACCATAGAATTTCTGTAAAAACTAGCCACATAGAATGCCGAGACGTGCGGGCCTACCATTTAGACTCAACGCGTTCGAAAATTATATAGAAGAGGTAATTTATATATAGAATAATTGTAATTAATCCCCACAATTTAATTAAAGAATAATATGTAGTTGCCAAAGTTTTTTCCCTCTGTTGCATTTAATTCCTCACTTTATCTATCTATATATTGTCTTTCATAAATTAGTTATTTATTTGTTAACTAGTGTGGTACCCGTGCGATGCACGAGCTAATTTTATTAAGATAAGCAGTTAAATTTGGATGATTGGAAGAACGTAAAATACATATATTGAAATGAAACACAATGTAACGTTATATATATATTATTAAACACATCATTGTACACAAAGTTATTTGTTTGGTCTTTTGGAACATCGTCTATTGCCACAAATTATATTAAGATTGTAGATAGTCTTAAATAAATTGATTATATTATTTAGCAGAATATATACACTATTTTGTAAGTGTATGAAATCATTATTTATTTTGTAAGTGTATTCAATCAATTTCAAATTTGTATTCTAGATAATTAAACAAAACCCAAATTTTTAGGATGTTACAATCTGATTTCATTTTGAATTTCAAATTATGACTTTGTTTTATGTTTAAAAAAGTCCGAATTAAAGAAAGTAGAATCAAATGATAATAGATTTTTAAATTTTAATTTGAAATTTGCCTTATGTAATCCGATTTGTTTTAATAAGCATGATCTGCTACAATTAGGTAAAGATACATGTTATAGTGTTTTGTCTATTCAAAATTCTCGATTGTATGGTAAACAGATTTTTTTAATAAAAAATGAAAGAATTTTGACTTTTACAAAATTGTCATGCCGACTATGCAATCTGATTTTTATAATAAATAATTGATTTGTTGCAATTAGTAAATGATATATGTGATAATATTTTGCCTAATTTGAAATTCTTGATTTTATTTTATTTCCGTTTTTGTAATAAAAATAGAGAAAGAAAATTGACTTTTGCATCAGTCGAAATTTACCTAAATTAAATTCACAAAATAAAAAAATTTAGGGTGCACATTTAAAAAATAAAATTGTTGTACCATTTCAAGATTAAATCAACCGTAATTAGTTTTAATTAAAATATAATAGTTTCCAAACAGAATACTTTAGTTAGCCAAAAATTTATGGTATGTAATATTGTTTCTTTAAGGTAGCACGATTTTTTGAAAGAAAAGTAACAAATACCATAATTTTAGGGTAATATTTAATGCTGATTTTTTTGAAAAATAAAAAGTTACTAAGTATGAAATGTAATTAATGCTAATTGAGATTTGACCTACTATTTTTAAAAAATGTTAATTCTTTTTATATATATATATATAGATAATAAATTGATCTGATAAAAAATATAGTTGTTTGTTGTGTTATTGTGGATTTTTGGCAAGTATTATTGTGTTATTTAGGTCTTATAGTGGATTTTTTTTTTTTTTTTNNNTTTTTTTTTTTTTTTTTTACTTGAACTTCTAGTATATGTGGACTTTGTCAACTTTTATCACTTTCTTTTCATGATCTTCTAACACATCTCCGTGCATATATTTATCTTGGTGAAGAATGGTGTTAAAAAAAAAAATAGAAAAAAAAGAGGAAAGAATAGTGAAAGATGAGAAGAAGAAATAAGAGGAGAGAGGAGAGAGAAGAGAGAAATTAAAGGGAGTAATTAAATTACATCTTTTTTTATCTATAAGGGAGGGTTTGTTTTTTAATAAATCTATATCTATATAAAAATAATTACCATTTTTTAAAAATAGTAAGTCAAATTTTTGTCAAAATCTTATATGCATTAATTATATACTATTTATAGTAGTTATTATTTTTTATTTTTAAATAAAATCATGGAACATTTAATGTTGCCCTTGAATGATGGAAGTTGCTGTTATCTTTTTATGGCAACAAAATTCGGCCAATATATTTTTTGCAAAACAGTTTGATGGAGAGATAAGCGCATAAATCATAACACATTTAAAAAGATTGCCGATTAGTTTGTATCTTATTCTAGTGGATAGGTACACATATAAAATAAAATAAAAAATTGATGTATGAAAAGATGGTTTTATAAATATAATATTTGTATGTAAATAAAAAATTTATTAATTTCTTAACTATTACATTCACCTCATAAATTAATCCAAAACTAAACGTGAGATTTATTTTAACAATAATACATGTATTTATTTTTAACAATATACACGTAAAATTTACGTGAGATTTATTTCAAAATTCAATTATTTTCAATGAAATTTACGTGAGATTTATCTCAAAATCTTACTATTTTTGTATAGAAGTGGAATTTAATATATGTATATAATAAGAATATCTTTTTAAATATGTTGTCTGGTAAATATTTTACGTGTATATATATATATATAGATGTTAACTTTAATTGTTTTTAAATACATTTTTCTTATAAAATAGTTTAGAAAAATTTAGGTAATTTCATATTTTTTAAGATTAATATATAATATTTTTAGTAATTTTATATACGTTATATAACAGTCTATGAATTCTTAATGTTTTTTCGGTTGTAATATTATTAAGACATATAATATTTTAGATACTTTTAAAAATATTTGGACATTTTTTTTACACATTCTCTAGATTAAAACATATTTTCCTTACAAAATGGTTTAGAATAATGTTAGGCGACTTCGCATATATTTCAAAAACAAAATAAAATATTTCAGATACTTGTGCATATGTGATATAAGATTTTATATCATATAAAAAGAGAATAAGATTGATATAAGATTTTATATCATATAAAAAGAGAATAAGATTTATAACTCCCGATAAAAAATTAAATACATATTTAATCTTAGATATAAAATCTCATTTTATTTGTTATATAATACTTAGGTTAGCATTAATCTTATTTGTAAATTTGATAAATCAAGACTACAAGGACTTAAAAAAACTAATTTTTAACTCTAGAAACAAGTTAGGTCATAATTCTCAATATCAACTCAATATTTATTTGTATATACTATCATCTCAATATTTATTTATATATATTTTATATATTTAATGTAAATCTTTTTGGGTCAATAAAGTGCAATAATATCTTTATTTAGGCTCATAATATATTATATATTTTTAAACATATTATTTAGAAATTTTTGTACACGTTCTATCTATATATACATTTACATATAAACGTGTTCATGTAAATATGTAAATTTAAATATTGTTAGACATGTTTTCATGAAAAATTAATGTAGAAGATTGTAGGTGATTTCACATCTTTTTAAATAGTTTAACATTTTTTTTTTTTACAAAATAATTTAGAAAAAATTTAAGTAGCTTCAATCTTTCAATAATGATATTAATTTTAGATACTTTTCCTACGTTATATAATATTTTAGGCATTTTTAATATTTTAAACATACAGTTTCGAAAATTCTTTTATAAAAGATAATTTTATGATACGACAAATTATATCATATATTAACTCACATCTCCAATTTATAATTATTAGTTAATATTGTTTACCTTTCTCTTTAATTTATAATTATTATTTAATATTATCTATCGTGTATCGCACGGGATACACACTAGTTTATTTCATACGCAATTTATATTACTCAACTTTAACTCGCTATCTTCAATAC